ATGTTATATTTTGAGACTGATCATAAAAACAAAATGGATTAAAAGAAGAACTAAACAGATCTTTCTCATATTGCAATGATCGATTCTATTTCTTTCACATTAAGTACTGTACTAGTAAATATGTGAAATGACAAACTCACTTTGAAGGTTGGCTTTCATACACATCAGTATTAAGTTTAGATCAAAAGTTACCTCAAGGTGCATTTACTGTTAACATGACTCGATCAAACAGATAAGAGGAAAGAAGAGAAAAGATCGAACTGACAAAGAACTAATGAAGATGGTACAAAGGTGGGCGCCTAGATCCCTCTGGGATCTCTTGTTTTATTCTCCTACTATACAAGTGAAGGGATTTAAACCAAATACAGTCTGAAGCATGCCTAGGGACAAATTTTGTATAAACTGAGGTGTGAAGCAGATGAGTGGGGCCCATTAGGGGAAATAGAGGAAAACATTAAAGATCCTTTTCCTTCTGTTCCGTTGAAGGGATTTTAACCAGACTTGTTCTAGAGAATCTTTGGGCAAAGGGAATTGAATATTTATAAATGGAAGATGCGCCCCCAATTTGTTTAATTTGTATAAAAAGGTGCATGTTAAGCCCAATAGGGAAAATAAAGGAAAATTGGGACATAACATGGAAACTCATGTTCTTGGTGTCTTTCCCACAAAAACAGATTTATATGTAGTTCTTCTTGCAACTTTGCTTCTTGTACTCCATTGATAGACCTGTATGGTACTCAGCAGGTTTTAAATTGAAAAATAAAATACCAGGTGAGCTATTAAGGCCCCTGGGCCTCTTGTTTATCTTAGTGTCTTAGTTTGTTCATCAGAATAGAAACACACTTGTGTAGTCATTAGTATTTCCCTGAAACAGAAACAGTCTGAGCTGGTTGATTATTTTGGTTGTTATATTATTAGCTTACCTAGTCCAAAGGACCAAGGTGAGCTTATGCTGTACAAAACTTTCTTCAAACGACTTCTTCTTCCTAACCACTGATTGGAATTTAACTTCATTTGACTGGGAACATTCCTAGGTGGTGGGGATTCAAAATTGTACAAATGGTGGGGATGACCCCCCCCCCCAGGGGACAGGGGCGGGGCCAAAAAGAGGCAATTTAGTTATATTGCTATAAACCACTTCTTCTCTAGAACATATCACTAAATATCAGTCATATTTGAATGGAAGCATCCATGGAAGGTGCGGATTCAAAATTGTACAAAAGGTGGGGCTGACCACCAGGGGACTGAGGGGCAGGGCCAAAAAGGGTTATTTGGCTATATTGGTTTAAGCGACTTCTTCTCTGGAACTTAGCAATGGATATCAATCATATTTGAATGGTAGCATACCTAGGTGGTGGGGATTCAAAATTGTACAAATGGTGGGGCTTGGAAATGGTTGGGATCCCTACCCCAAAACTATAAATACAATTGCTGGGCATAAAAAGATGAATGTAGTCATGATATTAGAATTGACCCTTGGGTCTAAAACAATTTACTTACACTTGACTTCCTGACACCTGACTTTAACAACACCAGGATTTTCTTTTAATTTACTTACATTTGACTCCCTGACACTATACTTTAGCAATTTACTTACACTTGACTTCCTGACACTATACTTTAACAATTTACTTACGTTTGATTTTCTGACACTTTACTTTAACAATTTACTTACATTTGACTCCCTGACACTATACTTTAACAATTTACTTACACTGACTTCCTGACACTATACTTTAACAATTTACTTACACTTGACTTCCTGACATCTGACTTTAACAACACCTGGATTTCTATTGATTTACTTACATTTGACTCCCTGACACTATACTTTAACAATTTACTTACACTTGACACCCTGACACCTGACTTTAACAACACCTGGATTTCTATTAATTTACTTACATTTGACTCCCTGACACTATACTTTAACAATTTACTTACACTTGACTTCCTGACACCTGACTTTAACAACACCAGGATTTTCTTTTAATTTACTTACATTTGACTCCCTGACACTATACTTTAGCAATTTACTTACACTTGACTTCCTGACACTATACTTTAACAATTTACTTACGTTTGATTTTCTGACACTTTACTTTAACAATTTACTTACATTTGACTCCCTGACACTATACTTTAACAATTTACTTACACTTGACTCCATGACACCTGACTTAAACAACAACTGGATTATTTTACTGAAAATTGACTTTACTGATACATTCTTTACTATCACTTAGATCTCTCTAATTTACTCACACCTGACCATGCAGACACTAGACTTAACTGTCACTTAATTTTACTTACACCTGACTTCACTAAAACCTGACTTTACTGACACCTAACTTAACAAATACCTGACTCTACAAACACCTGACCTTACTGACACCTGGCTCTACCAACACCTGACTTTACTGACACCTGACTTTACTGACACCTGGCACTACAGACACCTGACTCTACAAACACCTGACTTTACTGACACCTGGCTCTACAAACACCCGACTCTACTGACACCTTACTCTACTAACACATGAATCTACAAACACCTGACTTTACTGACACCTGGCACTACAGACACCTGACTCTACGAACACCTGACTTTACTGACACCTGCCTCTACAAACACCTGACTTTACTGACACCTGACCCCACTAGCTCCTAACTTTACTGACCCCTGCCTCTACAAATACCTGACTTTACTAACACATGACTTCACTGACACCTGACTCTACAGACACCTGACTCTACAGACACATGACTCTACACACACCTGACTTTACTGACACCTGACTCTACAAACACCTGACTTTACTGACACCTGACCTCACTAGCTCCTGACTCTACTGACACCTGACTCTACAAACACATGACTCTACACACACCTGATTTTACCGACACCTGGCTCTACAAACACCTGACTCTACTAACACATGACTTCACTGACACCTGACTCTACAGACACCTGACTCTACAAACACATGACTCTACAAACACCTGACTTTACGGACACCTGACTCTACAAACACCTGAATTTGCTGACACCTGATTCTACAAACACCTGACTCTACAAACCCCTGACTTTACTGGCACCTGCCTCTACAAACACCTGACTTTACTAACACCTGACTCTACAAACACCTGACCTTACTGACACCTGGCTCTACCAACACCTGACTTTACTGACACCTGATTCTACAAACACCTGACTCTACAAACCCCTGACTATACAAACACCTGACTCTACAAACACCTTACTTCACTGACACCTGACTCTACAAATACCTGACTTTACTGACACCTTACCTCACTAGCTCCTGACTCTACTGACACCTCACTCTACAAACACATGACTCTACACACACCTGTCTTTACTGACACCTGGCTCTACAAACACCTGTCTTTGCTGACTCTTGTCTCTACAAACACCTGACTACAAACACATGACTTTACTGACACCTGAATCTACAGACACTTGACTCTACAGACGACTGACTCTACAAACACCTGACTTTACCGACACCTAACTTTACAAACACATGACTTGACCAACACCTGACTTCACTGACACCTGACTTCACTGACACCTGACTTCACTGACACCTGACTTCACAGACACCTGACTCTAAAAACTTCTGACTATACAAACACCTGACTTCACTGACCCCTGACTCTACAGACACCTGACTCTACAAACACATGACTCTACAAACACCTGACTTTACCGACACCTAACTTTACAAACACATGACTTGACCAACACCTGACTTCACTGACACCTAACTCAACAAACACCTGCCTTTCCTAACACCTGACTCTACAAATACCTGACTTTACCGACACCTGACTCTACAAACACCTGATTTTACCGACACCTGGCTCTACAAACACCTGACTCTACTACCACATGACTTCACTGACCCCTGACTCTACAGACCCCTGACTCTACAGACACATGACTCTACACTCCCCTGACTTTACTGACACCTGACTCTACAACCACCTGACTCGACAAACACCTGACTTTACTGACACCTTACTCTACAAACACCTGACTCTACAACCCCCTGACTTTACTGACACCTAACTCTAAAAACACCTGACTCTACAAACACCTGTCTTTACTGACACCTGACTCTACAAACACGTGAATCTACAAACCCATGACTTTACTGACACCTGACTCTACAAATACTTGACTCTACAAACACCTGACTTCACTGACCCCTGACTCTACAGACCCCTGACTCTACAGACACATGACTCTACACACACCTGTCTTTACTGACACCTGGCTCTACAAACACCTGACTCTACTACCACATGACTTCACTGACCCCTGACTCTACAGACCCCTGACTCTACAAACACCTGACTTTACCGACACCTAACTTTACAAACACATGACTCGACCAACACCTGACTTCACTGACACCTAACTCAACAAACACCTGCCTTTCCTAACACCTGACTCTACAAATACCTGACTTTACCGACACCTGACTCTACAAACACCTGAATTTGCTGACACCTGATTCTACAAACACCTGACTTCACTGACCCCTGACTCTACAGACCCCTGACTCTACAGACACATGACTCTACACTCCCCTGACTTTACTGACACCTGACTCTACAACCCCCTGACTTTACTGACCCCTGACTCTACAGACACCTGACTTTACAGACACCTGACTCTACAAACACCTGACCTCACTGACACCTGACTCTACAAACTTCTGCCTATACCTGACTCTACAAACACCTGACCTTACTGACACCTGGCTCTACCAACACCTGACTTTACTGACACCTGATTCTACAAACACCTGACTTCACTGACCCCTGACTCTACAGACCCCTGACTCTACAAACCCCTGACTTCACTGACACCTGACTCTACAAACACACGACTCTACTGACACCTTACTCTACACACACCTGACTTTACTGACACCTGGCACTACAGACACCTGACTCTACCAACACCTGACTTCACTGACACCTAACTCAACAAACACCTGACTTTACTGACACCTGACTCTACAAATACCTGACTTTACTGACACCTGAATTTACTGACACCTGACTTTTCTGACACCTGGCACTACAGACACCTGACTCTACAAACACCTGACTTTACTGACACCTTACTCTACAAACACCTGACCTCACTAGCTCCTGACTTTACTGACACCTGCCTCTACAAACACCTGCCTTTACTGACACCTGACTCTACAAACACCTCACCTCACTAGCTCCTGACTTTACTGACACCTGCCTCTACAAACACATGACTTCACTGACACCTGACTCTACACACACCTGACTTTACTGACACCTGGCTCTACAAACACATGAATCTACAAACACCTGACTTTACTGACACCTGACTCTACAGACTCCTGACTTTACTGACACCTGGCTCTACAAACACCTGACTTTGCTGACACCTGACTTTGATGACACCTGACTCTATAAACACCTGACTACAAACACATGACTTTACTGACACCTGACTCTACAGACACCTGACTCTACAAACACCTGAGTTTGCTGACACCTGCCCTACAAAAACCTGACTTCACTGACACCTGACTCTACAAACACATGACTTTACTGGCACCTGACTCTACAGACACTTGACTCTACAGACACCTGACTCTACAAACCCCTGACTTTGCTGACACCTGACTCTGCAAACACCTGACTTCACTGACACCTGACTCTACAAACACCTGACTTCACTGACACCTGACTCTACAAACTTCTGACTATACAAACACCTGACTTCACTGACACCTGATTCTACAAACACCTGACTTTACTGACACCTGACTCTACAAACACCTGGCTTCACTGACACCTGACTCTACAAACACCTGACTTTACTGACACCTAACCCTACAAACACCTGACTTCACTAACACCTGACTCTACAAACACCTGACTTTACTGACACCTGACTCTACAAACACCTGACTCTACAAACACCTGACTTTACTGACACCTGACTTTACTGACACCTGACTCTACATACACCTGACTCTACAAACACCTGACTTTACTGACAGCTGACTCTACAAACACCTGACTTTACAGACACCTGATTTTACTGACTCAACCAACAAAATGGTTATAGTTGACCAGTTACCCTTGATTGAAGTGAAGTTAGATCCATTGACCCATTTATAGTGGACCAGTTGCTTTATTTACAGATTTCTGTATGTATATATAGTGTCATGTATTTCAGTATTAATATTATTCATTTGAAAAACAAAATAACCAAGCTAAAATTGTTTTCTTGTTTTCATTGATATTTAGAATACCAATAAAACAGACGTGTCGACACTAAAGGCTGGGAATAAGGTAATTGTGTTGTGGTGTAAGCAATGTAGTCGGATGTTTAGTCTTAGATAAGTACCAGTTATCTGGGGTGAGAACTAATGTCCTCTATAATTTTGATAACCACAATCCTGTTGTGACCCCCTGTAACCCTTTTTATCACACCTTGGACAGAATTGTCGCTTCGAAATTAATACAAATCAGGTCTAAAATACGCCTTCCCAAATATCCCCGAACAAACACCTTCCAGTGTACTTTTCTGTACACAATCGTCCTGAAAAGGATAAAAATGTTTTAAAACATTTATAAGAGTTGCCTCCCCTACGCCGGTTGAAAATAGTTGACCTTCCGCTTGACATGACGTCAGGTACTATTTGAAAGCGTCTCGGCGACTCAGCTTGTTGACAAATATGGCACGATTTGGGCAGACGACCCAAGTAGAAAAAAGGAAGAAGATTCGCACAGACAAGACTTTGAAATGTAACAAGGTCACAGTCATGAACTTTGGGGTTATGTCGAAGGACTTTATTGGTGGAGTATGCATACCAAATATGAAGCTTTTATCTCTAACAGGTCAAAAGTTATATTCAGTTTTTAGATTATATTGCAGACACTTGAGCAGGACAAAATATGTCCCAGATGTATCAAAAGGGGGTATAAAAAGGTCCTTGATGCGATAAATTTGTTATATGGTTTGTTACTGACCTACTATGGAACCAAAGAGGTCAGTAAAATTCATAGGGGTGAGACCGCCCCTATGAATTTTACTGACCCTCTTTGGTTACATAGTAGGTCAGTAACAAACCATTTAACTAATATTATATGGCCATTAAGGACTTCATTAAAATGTGAATTACAAAGAAAGTTTTGACAAGTTTGATAGCAAATTATACTTTGCAAGTATAGATATATTATGGTTATTGCCAGAAGTACAATAGTGGCTCTCATGAGTGAACTTTTTTTTTACAATAATTCAAAATTATCTCTGTGAATATGACATGGGTATATATTATATGTCACTTTCTTCTATATTCAATATTTCATACCTTCATATTGTCTGTAATATATGGACCAGTTTATATAGTAAATCCCTAACACCTGACAAAATGAGTGTAATGTTGTTGTTTGTATTTCAGGTTGATAGACATTACTACCTGAAGGCCTGGAAGGATGGTGTCTATGCATACATCCTCTCCATTAAAAGAAAACAAGTGGAGGACAGTGTAGGGGAAATCAGGGTTTCCACAGAATCTCCGAAGGCGTTCCATGTTGATGGTAAGATCTGTGTTACATGTCACTAGTGAAGTGTGTAGATCTTTATCCTTGACGGTATTATCTACATGTATATGCATTGCCTATAGCTCCTTGTCTCTTGATGTTCAGTCTATATGGCTGCTGATGTAGCTGTCAGATTTCCACATGTTTTGATTGAGATGTCTGTTATGGAATGGAGGAAAATACTACAGAGATAGCCAACACTGGGGAAAAATAGTGTTATGTTTCCTGAACAATCTTAACCAAATGATTCCGCCACTGAAATGAAACCATAAAACATTGTATAACATTATAGATCTGTTCACTCCACCTTGTTCAGATCATGTATAACAATATAGATCTGTTCACTCCACCTTGTTCAGATCATGTATAACATTATAGATCTGTTCACTCCACCTTGTTCAGATCATGTATAACAATATAGATCTGTTCACTCCACCTTGTTCAGATCATGTATAACAATATAGATCTGTTCACTCCACCTTGTTCAGATCATGTATAACAATATAGATCTGTTCACTCCACCTTGTTCAGATCATGTATAACAATATAGATCTGTTCACTCCACCTTGTTCAGATCATGTATAACAATATAGATCTGTTCACTCCACCTTGTTCAGATCATGTATAACAATATAGATCTGTTCACTCCACCTTGTTCAGATCATGTATAACAATATAGATCTGTTCACTCCACCTTGTTCAGATCATGTATAACAATATAGATCTGTTCACTCCACCTTGTTCAGATCATGTATAACAATATAGATCTGTTCACTCCACCTTGTTCAGATCATGTATAACAATATAGATCTGTTCACTCCACCTTGTTCAGATCATGTATAACAATATAGATCTGTTCACTCCACCTTGTTCAGATCATGTATAACAATATAGATCTGTTCACTCCACCTTGTTCAGATCATGTATAACAATATAGATCTGTTCACTCCACCTTGTTCAGATCATGTATAACAATATAGATCTGTTCACTCCACCTTGTTCAGATCATGTATAACAATATAGATCTGTTCACTCCACCTTGTTCAGATCATGTATAACAATATAGATCTGTTCACTCCACCTTGTTCAGATCATGTATAACAATATAGATCTGTTCACTCCACCTTGTTCAGATCATGTATAACAATATAGATCTGTTCACTCCACCTTGTTCAGATCATGTATAACAATATAGATCTGTTCACTCCACCTTGTTCAGATCATGTATAACAATATAGATCTGTTCACTCCACCTTGTTCAGATCATGTATAACAATATAGATCTGTTCACTCCACCTTGTTCAGATCATGTATAACAATATAGATCTGTTCACTCCACCTTGTTCAGATCATGTATAACAATATAGATCTGTTCACTCCACCTTGTTCAGATCATGTATAACAATATAGATCTGTTCACTCCACCTTGTTCAGATCATGTATAACAATATAGATCTGTTCACTCCACCTTGTTCAGATCATGTATAACAATATAGATCTGTTCACTCCACCTTGTTCAGATCATGTATAACAATATAGATCTGTTCACTCCACCTTGTTCAGATCATGTATAACAATATAGATCTGTTCACTCCACCTTGTTCAGATCATGTATAACAATATAGATCTGTTCACTCCACCTTGTTCAGATCATGTATAACAATATAGATCTGTTCACTCCACCTTGTTCAGATCATGTATAACAATATAGATCTGTTCACTCCACCTTGTTCAGATCATGTATAACAATATAGATCTGTTCACTCCACCTTGTTCAGATCATGTATAACAATATAGATCTGTTCACTCCACCTTGTTCAGATCATGTATAACAATATAGATCTGTTCACTCCACCTTGTTCAGATCATGTATAACAATATAGATCTGTTCACTCCACCTTGTTCAGATCATGTATAACAATATAGATCTGTTCACTCCACCTTGTTCAGATCATGTATAACAATATAGATCTGTTCACTCCACCTTGTTCAGATCATGTATAACAATATAGATCTGTTCACTCCACCTTGTTCAGATCATGTATAACAATATAGATCTGTTCACTCCACCTTGTTCAGATCATGTATAACAATATAGATCTGTTCACTCCACCTTGTTCAGATCATGTATAACAATATAGATCTGTTCACTCCACCTTGTTCAGATCATGTATAACAATATAGATCTGTTCACTCCACCTTGTTCAGATCATGTATAACAATATAGATCTGTTCACTCCACCTTGTTCAGATCATGTATAACAATATAGATCTGTTCACTCCACCTTGTTCAGATCATGTATAACAATATAGATCTGTTCACTCCACCTTGTTCAGATCATGTATAACAATATAGATCTGTTCACTCCACCTTGTTCAGATCATGTATAACAATATAGATCTGTTCACTCCACCTTGTTCAGATCATGTATAACAATATAGATCTGTTCACTCCACCTTGTTCAGATCATGTATAACAATATAGATCTGTTCACTCCACCTTGTTCAGATCATGTATAACAATATAGATCTGTTCACTCCACCTTGTTCAGATCATGTATAACAATATAGATCTGTTCACTCCACCTTGTTCAGATCATGTATAACAATATAGATCTGTTCACTCCACCTTGTTCAGATCATGTATAACAATATAGATCTGTTCACTCCACCTTGTTCAGATCATGTATAACAATATAGATCTGTTCACTCCACCTTTTTCAGATCATAACTTCTAAACCAATCAACACTTTTTAAGGAAAATATAAACAAACATGTAAGATAATGGCTGAACACATGAAGAATACCTGACACACATTTCTTTGTTGTTATAAACAGTGACCATTGAAATGATTGGAGACCATGAGTACATTTCTGCACAAGATTGGCCTCTATTGATAGTAAGTACAATTTATCATTGTTAGGCCAAATAAAATTAATAACTTGGTTCTCAGGCTATTTTTTTTCAAAAGAGATGCGGCAGGGCGGTATTTTTTTTTTCATTTAACATGGCAAAAAGGAGACAAGGGCGATTTTTTTTTTATTATGTAGTTTGTAAAATGTTCATTGTGGGCATTACCTTGTCTTTTTATAGTTCTGTAGAGACCCGTCATAGAGCAAACCTCCGAAAATCCCCCCACAATGTTCCAGACGAGAATCACGAACCCCTCATTCCTTATTTGTACCGAAATGAGCGCCATTTGTACACAAGATGAATAAGTCATAATCATTTTAACGCTTGCCTGTATCTCAATCCTTATCTTTATTCAAACGTTTTCGGGACTTGGGTGACTAACGAGTAAAAACGACATGCGGACCAATTTTCTGGGGTTTTTTTTAAAGATGGCGGCCGGCGCATTCACAATTTTTTTTTAATACTTTCACGATAAAATCGGCAATGCGGTGCCCAAAAATGAAATGCGCGTGGGCCTGAGAATGTTTGGCCACATTTTACATAGATAGAAAAAAGTAGATCTCAGTTTAACACATAATTAGGTATTTACAGTGTTAGACTTAGACTGAGTAAATCGAATATACTGGTTTGATTGCAGTTTTATGGTGTGATGGGACTGGTATACATTACCTATGGTATCGCTTGGCTGGTCATGCTGGCTTGTAGCTGGAGGGACCTTCTCAGGGTACAGTTCTGGATAGGAGCTGTCATCGCACTCGGTAGGTAGTCCTTGTATGAACAAATTGTCACAGAACGCAAGCATATGAACCAAGGACCTCGATCACAACTTCTTTGTAAGCATGTCCAAATTATTACAGATGTTCAGTGGTACTTTTGTGACAGAAAAGTTCATTAAATAAAGTGTTAATGGCAAAATAGGTTTGTACAATCCAACTTGCTTCGATAAAACTCTTCATCATATAAACTTTTACATTGATAATTGATTTGCCAAAAGGTTCTAAGCATTTTTAACTTAGTACAAAGAGGCTTCAGTTGATTGGTTGTTTGATCTATTGGCTAATTGTGTAGTTGATTGGATGACAGTTGGACTCGGACATTTAACTGATTTGTATCTATTTTGATATTTTTTTCTTATTTATTGATTGAAAAGGTATTAATGTGGTACCATTGCAGGTATGCTTGAGAAGGCGGTGTTCTATGCAGAATTCCAGAGTATTTCAAGCACTGGGCAATCAGGTAATTTTCATACTGGGAAAACTGGGAAAATACATCTAACTATATTGGTGATATTTTTCTTGTGTTAAGTCGTAATATTAGAAAATATCAACAAATTAGAATACTATAAGTTGAGAATAAATTCCCTTTTAGTGGAAACAATGAAATTTATCATTTAGTCAATGTCTTTAAAAACAAACATGGAGATCAAGTACTTGCACTGAGTAAAATGTGTTTAACAAAGACAATTCCTGATTATCCGGATATTTTGAATTTGGTAAAGGTTAAAGGGTTTTTCTCATTTCTAGACCAGATTATTTGTTCACTTTGTAGAGATAAATAAATGACTCGAGTTTCAGTTGACCAGGTTCTAATGTACAGGACACAATAAAAATACACTGGAGTAATTTCACTGTTATCTATATACGAGTATTGTTAGCTAACCTGGCAAGTGCCAAGTGAGCTTATGCCGTGGTGCGGCGTCCGGCGTCAATATTTTACTTTAAACGACTTCTTCTTAATAACCGAAAGGCCTAGGGTGTCGATATTTGGCCAGAAGCAAACTGGGATGAAGGGCTACCAATTTGTTAAAATTAATGACCTTCACCCATTTTCAAGGTCACAGGGGTCAAATATGTTTAAAACATTTAAACAACTTCTTCTGAATAACCAATAGGCCTTGGGCGATAAATTTGGCCAGTAACATGCTGGGATAAAGGGCTACCAAGTTTGTTCAAGGTCACAGGGGTCAAATATGTTTAAAACATTTAAACAACTTCTACTGAATAACCAAGAGGCCTAAGGTGGTGATATTTGGCCAGTAGCATGCTGGGATGAAGGGCTACTTAATTTGTTCAAATAAATGACCTTGACTTATATTCAAGGTCACAGGGGTCAAATATGTTTAAAACATTTAAACAACTTCTTCTGAATAACCAATAGGCCTTGGGCGATAAATTTGGCCAGTAACATGCTGGTATAAAGTGCTACCAAGTTTGTTCAAGGTCACAGGGGTCAAATATGTTTAAAACATTTAAACAACTTCTTCTGAATAACCAATAGGCCTTGGGCGATAAATTTGGCCAGTAACATGCTGGTATAAAGTGCTACCAAGTTTGTTCAAGGTCACAGGGGTCAAATATGTTTAAAACATTTAAACAACTTCTTCTGAATAACCAATAGGCCTTGGGCGATAAATTTGGCCAGTAACATGCTGGGATAAAAGGCTACCAAGTTTGTTCAAATAAATGACATTGATTTATATTCAAGGTCACAGGGGTCAAATATGTTTTAAAACCTTTCAACAACTTGTTCTGAATAACCGATAGGCCTAGGGTGATGATATTTGGCCAGAAGCATGCTGGGATTAAGGGCTACCAAGTTTGTTCAAATAAATGACCTTCATCTATTTTCAAGGTCACAGGGGTCAAATATGTTTAAAACCTTTCAACAACTTCTTCTGAGTAACCGATAGGCCTAGGGTGATGATATTTGGCCAGAAGCATGCTGGGATGAAGGGCTACCAAGTTGGTTCAAATAAATGACCTTTATCCATTTTCAAGGTCACAGGGGTCAAATATGTTTAAAACCTTTCAACAACTTGTTCTGAATAACCGGTAGGCCTAGGGTGATGATATTTGGCCAGAAGCATGCTGGGATTAAGGGCTACCAAGTTTGTTCAAATAAATGACCTTCATCTATTTTCAAGGTCACAGGGGTCAAATATGTTTAAAACCTTTCAACAACTTGTACTGAATAACCGCTAGGCCTAGGGTGATGATATTTGGCCAGAAGCATGCTGGGATGAAGGGCTACCAAGTTTGTTCAAATACATGACCTTGACTTATATTCTAGGCCACAGGGGTCAAATATGTTTAAAACATTTAAACAACTTCTACTGAATAACCAAGAGGCCTAAGGTGGTGATATTTGGCCAGTAGCATGCTGGGATGAAGGGCTACTTAATTTGTTCAAATAAATGACCTTGACTTATATTCAAGGTCACAGGGGTCAAATATGTTTAAAACATTTAAACAACTTCTTCTGAATAACCAAAATGCCCAGGGTGATGATATTTGTCCATTAGCATGCTGGGATGGAGGGCTACCAAGTTTGTTCAAATGAATGACCTTGACCAACTTTCAAGGTCACAGGTGTCAAATGTCTTAAAATCTTCAAACAACCTCTTCTCAATAACCAAAAGGCCCAGGGTATTGATATTTGGCCTGTATCAATCAGGGCTACCAAATTTGTTCAAATGAATGACCTTGACCCACTTTCAACCTAATGTCATTGTTTGACATTCAAGTTCACACTGATATCCTGCCTGTAGCTGTATTTTAGTCCACTTTTAAGTTTACAAGTGTGAGATTAATACCAGGTGAGCGATGCAGGCCCATTGGGCCTCTTGTAAATTATATAAATATTAAGTTTAACCAAGTTGATATTACTTGAAACAATTTACGTAAATAAATATATAACTGATAATTGATTATTTCCAGTGAGAGGAGCTGTGATATTTGCCGAGTTTGTGTCCTGCCTAAAGAGGACTTTGGCAAGAATCTTGGTCATCATTGTCAGTCTTGGATTTGGCATTGTGAAGTAGGTCTATGATGACATTAACTGTATTTTAAACTAAATGTACCAACTTGTGTTTCGATCAGCATACATAGGTACATTGAAACACTGCACCTCCAGACTCCAGTACTGATATTTGTACTCTTGGACATTTGCATCTAGTTCGTAATTCCAGGAGTTATGCTCACTGATGGTCTCTGCATCCCTGGGATATGTCATGTTAGCAAGTTTATTGGTTTCGGATAAAAAAAAACCTGACCAATCTCATAGCTGATACCACTTGTTAGCAGATTACAGAGAAGCAACACCTGAGTCAATTTGACTGTTACGCTGCAGTGCAGTTCTTTTGATGTACATCAAAGGAACCAACTGGTCTTACTTCTATTACCCTCTAGGTTGCACATAATATATATATAAAGTGCCTTCGATTTTGTTAAGACATATATTCCAGGGGTGCAGAGAACATAAGTCAAGTGAGCAAACCAACCAACCCCCCCCCCTTGGAACTGGAATTTCAAGGATGTGACATTTGTAGTTCTGTAAATTGTTTCAAATCTTAAAGATTAACAATCATGCCAAACCATAGATAAAAAAGGAACATTTTAAAGATTTTTAAATAACGAAGTGGTAATATCTGTATCAATATCATGAATGTGTTAATGACACCTGGTAATGTCTCCAGAAAGTTGTATGTAAGTATATCACTTTGGTTTTTCAGACCTAGACTTGGTCCTACATTCCGTAAGGTGATAGGTGTGGGAGTACTCTACTTCTTTGTCAGCTTGATCGAGGGCTGTATGAGGCAGCTACAGGTATACCTTTTATCTAATATTAACACTGGTGTTTCTGAGACAGCTACAGGTACACCTTTTATCTAATATAAACACTGGTGTTTCTGAGACAGCTACGTATACAGGTACACCTTTTATCTAATATAAACACTGGTGTTTCTGAGACAGCTACGTATACAGGTACATCTTTTATCTAATATTAACACTGGTGTTTCTGAGACAGCTACAGGTACACCTTTTCACTAATAAACACTGTTTTTTCTGAGGAAATATTCTGAAGCATTTAATAGACCAGGGAACACTTTCGTTCTCTAAACTTTCACTAAATTATAGGGAATTAGGATTATATACTATCTTATTGGGATATGGATCTCCTTTCAAAATGAGTTCTAATCTAGATAATGATAATGATAATATATTGTAAAGAAAGAGAAATCTACTCAAATAACAGGTTAATTTGTAATGTAGCGTACCACAGTGTACTCAAATCACAGGTTTATTGTGTAATGTAGTATACAGGTATAAGGAATTGAACAGCACTCATGCTTTTAAGTAATCCCAGTCAGTTTATTTTATACAAATTCTAACAAAAAAGAAATCTTTCAAAAGAATGTTTATATATTTTTCAGACGAAGGGAGACAACTCCAAAGACATCCTGGCAGCGCAGGTTCCTCTAGCTGTGATTGATGCTTCCATCTGCTGGTGGATATCCTTTCTTGACTTGTGTTTTATATATATACTACATGACAGTATTTCTGAGTATATGTATATATATATTAGTGACTGCTGTTTTTATCAAAGATCAAGTGACCATTAGTTTATATTGCTCATGGTATTACTAGAATGACTTTTAAATGAGAAAAAAACACAAAAAAATGCTGAAATCCAGTTGCAATGCTAAAATGATCTACAGTTGATGGTTTAAAATGCCTTTAAAGCAATTTGAATTCAATCTTCAATGGATTTCCTATGCACAAGGAACTTCTATCACAAAAAAACAGTAATGCTTTGGTATTTCATTGGCTGCGCGCTCAACCTTAAGCTTGTAAACCATTAACATTTTGGCATATTTTCATGATTTCCAGATCAGAGCACAATTTAAAAATGTTGTTCCACAATTTCGCTAAGATTTGCTGGAAATTTATATATTACTGCTATTAAAAGATAGCATTTTCAGCAGATTTCTGTTACTTTATTCTCGAAAGTCGCATTATGCATCCAAATGAGAAAGGATGAAATCTGTAGGTATTTGTCCTTAACTAAAATCACATCTTTGCGAGTTTGATCCAAACTACGAGAACACTGAGGCTGAGGAGGAACATAGTCAAACTGTCTCTCTACAGGCATTTTACAAACTTACTGATTTTCGCTGTTTTAGGTAAGTGGCTTTTATTCTTACAAGTATGAAAATGTCAAAAACAAATGTTGGAAAACAATTGGTATTAAAAAAGATAACGGGACTACAACATACAGCACCATTAATTTTGACATTGTAGGGATCACTTGACCTTGTAAGGACACAGCACCATTAATGTTGACAATGTAAGGATCACTTGACCCTGTTAGGATACAGCACCATTAATTTTGACATTGTAAGGATCACTTGACCCTGTTAGGATACATCACCATTAATATTGCCATTGTAAGGATCACTTCACCTTGTTAGGATACAGCACCATTAATTTTGCCATTGCAAGGATCACTTGACCTTGTTAGGATACAGACCATTACTTTTGCCATTGTAAGGATCATTTGACCCTGTTAGGATACAGCCCCATTAATTTTGCCATGGTAAGGATCACTTGACCTTGTTAGGACACAGCACCATTAATGTTGACATTGTAAGGATCACTTGACCTCATTAGGATATAGCACCATTAATTTTGCAATTGTAGGGATCGCTTGACCTTGTTAGGACACAGCACCATTAATGTTGACATTGTAAGGATCACTTGACCCTGTTAGGATACAGCACCATTAATTTTCACATTGTAAGGATCACTTGACCTTGTTAGGATACAGCACCATTACTTTTGCCATTGTAAGGATCACTTGGCCCTGTTAGGATACAGCACCATTAATTTTGCAATTGTAGGGATCGCTTAACCTTGTTAGGACACAGCACCATTAATGTTGACAATGTAAGGATCACTTGACCTTGTTAGGATATAGCACCATTAATTTTGCAATTGTAAGGTTCACTTGACCTTGTTAGGACACAGCACCATTAATGTTGCCAATGTTAGGATCACTTGACCTTGTTAGGACACATCACCATTAATGTTGACATTGTAAGGATCACTTGACCTCATTAGGACATAGCACCATTAATTTTGCAATTGTAGGGATCGCTTGACCTTGTTAGGACACAGCACCAATAATTTTGACATTGTAAGGATCACTTGACCTTGTTAGGACACATCACCATTAATGTTGACATTGTAAGGATCCCTTGACCTTGTTAGGATACAGCACCATTAATGTTGACATTGGAAGGATCACTTGACCTTGTTAGGATACAGCGCCATTACTTTTGCCATTGTAAGGATCACTTGACCATGTTAGGATACAGCACCATTAATTTTGCAATTGTAGGGATCGCTTAACCTTGTTAGGACACAGCACCATTAATTTTGTCATTGTAGGGATCACTTGACCTTGTTAGGACACAGCACCATTAATGTTGACATTGTAAGGATCCCTTGACCTTGTTAGGATACAGCACCATTAATTTTGCAATTGTAGGGATCGCTTGACCTTGTTAGGACACAGCACCAATAATTTTGACATTGTAAGGATCACTTGACCTTGTTAGGATATAGCACCATTAATTTTGCAATTGTAGGGATCGCTTGACCTTGTTAGGACACAGCACCATTAATGTTGACAATGTTAGGATCACTTGACCTTGTTAGGACACAGCACCATTAATGTTGACAATGTAAGGATCACTTGACCTTGTTAGGATACAGCACCATTAATTTTGACATTGTAAGGATCACTTGACCTTGTTAGGATACAGCACCATTAATTTTGACATTGTAAGGATCACTTGACCTCGTTAGGATACAGCACCATTCATTTTGACATTGTAGGGATCACTTGACCTTGTTAGGACACAGCACCATTAATTTTGACATTGTAAGGATCACTTGACCTTGTTAGGATACAGCACTATTACTTTTGCCATTGTAAGGATCACTTTACCTTGTCAGGATACAGCACCATAAATTTTGCCATTGTAGGGATCACTTGACCTTGTTAGGACACAGCACTATTCATTTTGACATTGTAAGGATCACTTCACCTCGTTAGGATCATTTGACCTTGTTAGAACACAGCACCATTAATTTTGACATTGTAAGGATCACTTGACCTTGTTAGGATACAGCACCATTAATTTTGCCATTGTAGGGATCACTTGACCTTGTTAGGATACAGCACCATTAATGTTGACATTGGAAGGATCACTTGACCTTGTTAGGATACAGCGCCATTACTTTTGTCATTGTAAGGATCACTTGACCTTGTTAGGATACAGCACCATTAATGTTGACATTGGAAGGATCACTTGACCTTGTTAGGATACATCACAATTAATTTTGACATTGTAAGGATCACTTTACCTTGTTAGGTTACAGCACCATTAATTTTGACAATGTAAGGATCACTTGACCTCATTAGGATGACCTGTCAGTTAAAATTTACCTTATTGTTTTTCAGCTTCTGTGGTTTATATGATATGGTCTCTGTCCTCACACAAGTTAAAAGTCTGTATAACTGTAAGTACTCCTGGCCCTCATACAAAAATACTTACTGAAGTTACGTAATTATGAAATGTGAATTGATCTGAGTGTTACTGCCTTTTGTCACTTTTTCCTTTACGTGATCTTAATACTGTATGATATAAATGATGGCAATATTGTAAACAAATGAAATATCCTTACAATAACAAAAGTTATTAAGGTTACATAAGCTTTATGCATGTGCCAATTTGTGCAACTGGGCAGACTGGATCTAGTGGGGAAAATATGTTATGTGTCTTATTGAAGGACAGCAAGATATGTTTAAAAATCCTGAATATCTATTTCCTTTAAAAGTAAAGTATATTTGGTATGAAGTGTTAATACAGTGTACTAATTTCAGGATTGGCGAGAGTTGTGGGTGGATGAGGCGTTCTGGCACTTGCTGTTCTCTGTCATGCTATTAGTCATCATGGTGCTATGGCGACCGTCCATTAACAATCAGAGGTTTGTATGATAAGAAAAAATACTTAATTTAATTTAAATCAAACGAATTAAAATGAATATGTACTCGCCTCAAACTGTAAATACTATACTACACAAGAAAATCTGAAGGTGGTACCGTAAGAATAACGGGATCCATATCGGACACGGTAACTTGAGTGGGGTCACATAGCATGCTTCTTGGCTGATATACAGCGGGGTCTCGAACAAAAATACACAGGCCTTGCCCTACACGTTCGAGCGGGAAATTTGAAACGTCCTACCGTATCTCGATAAGAACACTAATTATCTAATTAGCTTATGTATTTATTTATTATTTGTTTTCTCATCTATTGTAAACTTCAGGTTAAATTGTATGCATCTAAAAAAAAATAACAATAGTAACGTTACTACCAGCATATTTAACAAAGTGAGTGTGAAAGGGAATGCAAGAATATGTCCAGATAGAGAGTAAGGATGTGATTTTAATGGTATACGAGTTGAGTGTGGACAATTGTCGTAAATTAAATAATATGACTTTAAAAAGGGAAAATACTGATAATGAAAAATTAATAAAGGAAAATCTTTTTTTTTAAAAAGAAAGAAAAAGAAGTACAATGATGAATGGCTTGGTGCCAAGCACCATATATACGATATAGAGCACACACACAAAAATATAGTAATAAATTTACCAACCACATGCATACGAACTACTCCCATACTTTAAAAAAAAAAACTATGCTAATGAAATCAATGCCACACTGCCACCTTGTATAAGACAAATTGAATAGGCATATATTAACTCTAAGGTTGCAACGATAAGCAAATTTCCAGCCTGATTAATTGAGTAGTATTTATCATTCATTATTTGACATGAATGTCAGTATCATAACGTTGACAATGACGCTAAAAACCTGTACTTGCTACAGTTCATGGAGAACATTAAAGTAACATTACATTAAATGGTGTTGTGTTCTAATAAACTGTATGATATGTACAGGTATGCATTCTCACCACTACTGGATGCTGCTGATGATGAGGATGAGGAAGCCCTGATGAATGATGCCTTCGGTGAGTACATTTAGATGTGTAATTTATTCCTTTATGATATGGTCTAATTTGTAGTTTTACAAGATTTCTTTTTCTGTATATTTTTTCTGAGCGAGTTACTTTAATACCAAATTGTTTGTTCTGATCTATTTAACCAATTACAGTCATAGATACATGTGTTTGCATTTACTTGTGATTGTACAAATAGAAAATCACCTTTTTGTTTCCTTACTCCTTTGTAGATGGCATGAAGATGAGGGGGGTGAAGAGTCCCTTGAATGGCTCCCCCAAACAGAGAGATGGAAGGGCCTCTATTGTAAGTGTTTTAACTTATCATTGGAAATATTCTCTTTTAAATATATAAGAAATGGAGAAATAAGGTTCACTTGAAAAGAAGGTGAACAAAAATACTGAAACACAGTGGTACATGATTAATAGCATCTTTCCAAAATGTGTGGATGCCACAGAAACATCAACAGAAGAGGCAAGGTTGTCAAGTGTCCAACCCAAGGCTGAGAGCTGACGACCGGCTAGTTAATCATTTTACTAAGAGGTTTGAGAATTTCTTTTCAACTCCAAAATAAAGGAGATTTTTTATTTTCATATCTGAATAGAACTTGTTTCAACCAAAAATAAATTTCCATTCCAACTTGTCTGTAGAGAGTGGGATAGAAAAACCTTTCACCACCCATGGCCAGGAGTGTAAACAAATCTTGATTAGTGGAGGAAGAACATGCTTTCCACCTTAGATTGAACCAATGGTAGCAATCTTAATCTAGTTTTGATTGATTTTAAGATACATGTCATATCTATAGAGATTTAAGACCTGTTCTTCAAAAACAACTATATTTTGACTGACATGTTGGGTGGTTCAGCTTGATTGTTGTCTAATATATTTCTTGTATTTTCAGGAGGATGATCTGAAGTGGGTTGAAGAAAACATTCCAACATCCCTCACAGACAAGTAAGTAAATGTAGACAGAGATTATTGGTGTTGTAACACAAAATTTGATATCCATGTATAACTTACCATACTTGATATTGGCCAACAAACAAGTGAGATATGTTATTGTAGTCGTAACACAAAATTTGATATCCATGTATAACTTACCATACTTGATATCGGATGATAAACAAGTGAGATATGTTATTGGAGTTGTAACACAAAATTTGATATCCATGTATAAGTTACCATACTTGATATCGGATGACAAACAAGTGAGATATGTTATTGGAGTTGTAACACAAAATTTGATATCCATGTATAAGTTCCCATACTTGATATTGGCCGACAAACAAGTGAGATATGTTATTGGAGTAGTAACACAAAATTTGATATCCATGTATAACTTACCACACTTGATATTGGCCAACAAACAAGTGAGATATGTTATTGTAGTCTTAACACAAAATTTGATATCCATGTATAACTTACCATACTTAATATTGGCCAACAAACAAGTGAGATATGTTATTGTAGTCTTAACACAAAATTTGATATCCATGTATAACTTACCATACTTGATATCGGATGATAAACAAGTGAGATATGTTATTGGAGTTGTAACACAAAATTTGATATCCATGTATAAGTTACCATACTTGATATTGGCCGACAAACAAGTGAGATATGTTATTGGAGTAGTAACACAAAATTTGATATCCATGTATAAAATTAAATGTGTACTAAAACTTTAATTTTCTTTTCGCTATGACTTCAGAGCATTGCCAAGTCTGCTGGATGACTCAGAAGAGGAAATGATGACAGCAAAATATGAAGTGAACAAGATGCAATAGCGAGAATGGTGTAGATATATGTAGTCTTAGCCAACTGTTTAATTATGAGATATTGTGATATACGTTTTCAGGTGAATTTAATCTGGAGTACTGTGTAAGTGATGAGAGACCTTGGTATCCTGTAACTGCTTGCTATAGTGAACTACTAAATGAACACATTGGGTCCAGTTGGTTCACGTTTGAGTGATCTCTCTGTTGGTTCACGTTTGAGTGATCTCTCTGTTGGTTCACGTTCTAGTGATCTCACGGTTGGTTCACGTTCGAGCGTTCTCACGGTTGGTTCACGTTCGAGTGATCTCTCGGTTGGTTCACATTTGAGTGATCATCTCGGTTGGTTCATGTTCGAGTGATCTCTCGGTTGGTTCACATTCGAGTGATCTCTTGGTTGGTTCACGTTCAAGTGATCTCTCGGTTGGTTCACATTTGAGTGATCATCTCGGTTGGTTCATGTTCGAGTGATCTCTCGGTTGGTTCACATTCGAGTGATCTCTCGGTTGGTTCACGTTCGAGTGATCATCTCGGTTGGTTCATGTTCGAGTGATCTCTCGGTTGGTTCACATTCGAGTGATCTCTTGGTTGGTTCACGTTCGAGTGATCTCTCGGTTGGTTCACGTTCGAGTGATCATCTCAGTTGGTGGAAGTTGGATTGATACTGTCTGTTGAGGTTTAAAATAATAACAGTATTAAATAGAAATCCTTCTGAATGAAATCTGATTAACACGTGTTACATATATCTCAGAATCTTTATAAATGAGCACTGATTAACACGTGTCACATCATGTTTCGCATGCATTTTGGAATCCTTGTAAATGAGCGTTAAATATGGAATATTTGCATTTTGGAATCTAGTTAAGGAAATCGAGAACATTTAAAGAAAGTGCTATCTAGTAGCTTATACCACCAGTTATTTAATGAATGAATTCATTAAAGTTATTAGTTTCTATTTGAATATGTTGAAATCTGACAAATGTATGGTCTGGATATACAATATTATTTATTAATTAAGCCAGGAAGTTATATTACCTGGTACAGTGCATGTGTTGTTTGTTCATTTTGGTGAACTTGTATATTTTGTTGAACTGTAAAGACTTGGAATTATGCAGTTCACTAACTAATCCTGTGAATATCAAATCCCAGTGTAATGTTAAAAAAAACACATGACTCTCTTAAGCTATAGAGCAATGTATAGCTGTCTGTACATCTGTTGTTTCCTTGAACTAATGGAGATTGTTATACAGGGTCAAGGTGGATGATACAGCTGGGTCATGCTTGATAAAGCTGGGTTAATGTCAGTAAAGCTGGGTTAAGGTGGATGATACAGCTAGGTCATACTTGATAAGCTGGGTTAATGTTAGTAAAGCTGGGTCAAGGTGGATGATACAGCTAGGTCATACTTGATAAGCTGGGTTAATGTTAGTAAAGCTGGGTCAAGGTGGATGATACAGCTGGGCCGATGTCAGTAAAGCTGGGTCAAGGTGGATGATTCAGCTGGGTCATACTTGATAAAGCTGGGTTAATGTCAGTAAAGCTGGGTTAATGTCAGTAAAGCTAGGTTAAGGTGGATGATACAGTTGGGTCATACTTGATAAAGCTGGGTTAATGTCAGTAAAGCAGGGTCAAGGTGGATGATACAGCTGGGTCATACTTGATAAAGCTGGGTTAATGTCAGTAAAGCTGGGTTAAGGTGGATGATACAGCTAGGTCATACTTGATAAGCTGGGTTAATGTTAGTAAAGCTGGGTCAAGGTGGATGATACAGCTGGGTCATACTTGATAAGCTAGGTTAATGTCAGTAAAGCTGGGTCAAGGCGGATGATACAGCTGGGTCATACTTGATTAGGCTGGGTTAATGTCAGTGAAGCTGAGTCAAGGTGGATGATACAGCTGGGTCATGCTTGATAAAGCTGGGTTAATGTCAGTGAAGCTGAGTCAAGGTGGATGATACAGCTGGGTCATGCTTGATAAAGCTGGGTTAATGTCAGTAAAGCTAGGTCAAGGTGGATGATACAGCTGGGTCATACTTGATAAGCTAGGTTAATGTCAGTAAAGCTGGGTCAAGGCGGATGATACAGCTGGGTCATACTTGATTAGGCTGGGTTAATGTCAGTGAAGCTGAGTCAAGGGGGATGATACAGCTGGGTCATACTTGATAAAGCTAGGTTAATGTCAGTAAAGCTGGGTCAAGGCGGATGATACAGCTGGGTCATACTTGATTAGGCTGGGTTAATGTCAGTGAAGCTGAGTCAAGGTGGATGATACAGCTGGGTCATGCTTGATAAAGCTTGGTTAATGTCAGTAAAGCTGGGTTAAGGTGGATGATACAGCTAGGTCATACTTGATAAGCTGGGTTAATGTTAGTAAAGCTGGGTCAAGGTGGATGATACAGCTAGGTCATACTTGATAAGCTGGGTTAATGTTAGTAAAGCTGGGTCAAGGTGGATGATACAGCTGGGTCATGCTTGATAAAGCTGGGTTAATGTCAGTAAAGCAGGGTCAAGGTGGATGATACAGCTGGGTCATACTTGATAAGCTAGGTTAATGTCAGTAAAGCTGGGTCAAGGCGGATGATACAGCTGGGTCATACTTGATTAGGCTGGGTTAATGTCAGTGAAGCTGAGTCAAGGTGGATGATACAGCTGGGTCATACTTGATGAGCTGGGTTAATGTCAGTAAAGCTGGGTCAAGGTGGATGATACAGCTGGGTCGATGTCAGTAAAGCTGGGTCAAGGTGGATGATACAGTTGGGTAATACTTGTTAAAGCTGGGTCAAGGTCAATATAGCTAGGTCAGTGTGGATTACATAATGTTCATGTTTGACCTCATCATTCAAATAAGATATTGTTTTGTTCCTGATACCTTTAAAGTCAAATTATTGTTTTAAGTTTCTGACTTGGAGGCGAGAATGTGTTAGCTTTTGTACATAGATCCCACACTTCTAAATATCCTCTGGGTGTAAGTACTTACTAATAATATCTATATTGCTTTTACATATACAGCTATATAACCAAATTCTGTGTAGGAGTGTCAGGAATGATTCCCTATAAGATAACGATAACATTCAAAATGATAATCCCTTACTTGTAGTGAAAGTCANGATGATACAGCTGGGTCATGCTTGATAAAGCTGGGTTAATGTCAGTAAAGCTGGGTTAATGTCAGTAAAGCTAGGTTAAGGTGGATGATACAGTTGGGTCATACTTGATAAAGCTGGGTTAATGTCAGTAAAGCTGGGTCAAGGTGGATGATACAGCTGGGTCATACTTGATAAAGCTGGGTTAATGTCAGTAAAGCTGGGTCAAGGTGGATGATACAGCTGGGTCATACTTGATAAAGCTGGGTTAATGTCAGTAAAGCTGGGTCAAGGTGGATGATACAGCTGGGTCATACTTGATAAAGCTGGGTTAATGTCAGTAAAGCTGGGTCAAGGTGGATGATACAGCTGGGTCATACTTGATAAAGCTGGGTTAATGTCAGTAAAGCTGGGTCAAGGTGGATGATACAGCTGGGTCATACTTGATAAAGCTGGGTTAATGTCAGTAAAGCTGGGTCAAGGTGGATGATACAGCTGGGTCATACTTGATAAAGCTGGGTTAATGTCAGTAAAGCTGGGTCAAGGTGGATGATACAGCTGGGTCATACTTGATAAAGCTGGGTTAATGTCAGTAAAGCTGGGTCAAGGTGGATGATACAGCTGGGTCATACTTGATAAAGCTGGGTTAATGTCAGTAAAGCTGGGTCAAGGTGGATGATACAGCTGGGTCATACTTGATAAAGCTGGGTTAATGTCAGTAAAGCTGGGTCAAGGTGGATGATACAGCTGGGTCATACTTGATAAAGCTGGGTTAATGTCAGTAAAGCTGGGTCAAGGTGGATGATACAGCTGGGTCATACTTGATAAAGCTTGGTTAATGTCAGTAAAGCTGGGTCAAGGTGGATGATACAGCTGGGTCATACTTGATAAAGCTAGGTTAATGTCAGTAAAGCTGGGTCAAGGCGGATGATACAGCTGGGTCATACTTGATTAGGCTGGGTTAATGTCAGTGAAGCTGAGTCAAGGTGGATGATACAGCTGGGTCATACTTGATAAAGCTGGGTTAATGTCAGTAAAGCTAGGTCAAGGTGGATGATACAGCTGGGTCATACTTGATAAAGCTTGGTTAATGTCAGTAAAGCTGGGTTAAGGTGGATGATACAGCTGGGTCATACTTGATAAAGCTGGGTTAATGTCAGTGAAGCTGAGTCAAGGCGGATGATTAAGCTGGGTCATGCTTGATAAAGCTGGGTTAATGTCAGTGAAGCTGAGTCAAGGTGGATGATACAGCTGGGTCATGCTTGATAAAGCTGGGTTAATGTCAGTAAAGCTGGGTTAAGGTGGATGATACAGCTAGGTCATACTTGATAAGCTGGGTTAATGTTAGTAAAGCTGGGTCAAGGTGGATGATACAGCTGGGTCATACTTGATAAAGCTGGGTTAATGTCAGTTAAGCTGGGTCAAGGTGGATGATACAGCTGGGTCATACTTGATAAGCTGGGTTAATGTCAGTAAAGCTGGGTCAAGGTGGATGATACAGCTGGGTCATACTTGATAAGCTGGGTTAATGTCAGTAAAGCTGGGTCAAGGTGGATGATACAGCTGGGTCATACTTGATAAGCTGGGTTAATGTCAGTAAAGCTGGGTCAAGGTGGATGATACAGCTGGGTCATACTTGATAAGCTGGGTTAATGTCAGTAAAGCTGGGTCAAGGTGGATGATACAGCTGGGTCATACTTGATAAGCTGGGTTAATGTCAGTAAAGCTGGGTCAAGGTGGATGATACAGCTGGGTCATACTTGATAAGCTGGGTTAATGTCAGTAAAGCTGGGTCAAGGTGGATGATACAGCTGGGTCATACTTGATAAGCTGGGTTAATGTCAGTAAAGCTGGGTCAAGGTGGATGATACAGCTGGGTCATACTTGATAAGCTGGGTTAATGTCAGTAAAGCTGGGTCAAGGTGGATGATACAGTTGGGTCATACTTGTTAAAGCTGGGTCAAGGTCAATATAGCTAGGTCAGTGTGGATTACATAATCTTCGTGTTTGACCTCATCATTCAAATAAGATATTGTTTTGTTCCTGATACCTTTAAAGTCAAATTATTGTTTTAAGTTTCTGACTTGGAGGCGAGAATGTGTTAGCTTTTGTACATAGATCCCACACTTCTAAATATCCTCTGGGTGTAAGTACTTACTAATAATATCTATATTGCTTTTACATATACAGATGTATAACCAAATTCTGTGTAGAGTGTCAGGAATGATTCCCTATAAGATAACGATAACATTCAAAATGATAATCCCTTACTTGTAGTGAAAGTCAGGCAAAGTGATTTTATGAAGTGTTTTGGGGCCATGAGGTCATGTCAGATAAGATAGGACATTGAACCACAAGTAAATTCAGATATCATCATTGCAGAAATGTCCAGGAGAAGTTTGAAGGATTCTGATGGGGGGGGGGGCATCATTTTTGCCTGTGAATTTGTTTTTAATGATTAGTAATGTTGTATAAAGGATGAAGGTGGTCCACACATGTCTTGGCCTCCTATCAAGGTTGCCATCGGAACAATGGTAAGATTGAAAGATGCCAGCCTCCCTAGGGAGCTGAAACAAGCAAACTTATTAACAGATACCAATGCCATCCCGATTGTCTTTATCTTCCTCCACCATCTGGACCCTAACAAATGTGCAGAAATTTGATTTTCAATCCTGGAAGTTGATATCCTATACCCATGTTGTATATGTACAATTAAGGATTCATATTTAATATTATTTCACAGTAAAATATATCTTAATTTTTGGGAACTTTGTTTCATAATTAATTATGCTTACATTTACATGGCATTGTCACTATATAGCCTCTTTGAAAGCTGTGTCGTTGATGGGACTTTAATTAACATACAGCACGAGACTCTTAGCGTATTAATACAACACTGACCGGTACTACAATATCCAATGTAAATAAACATGACGGCTGCTGAAATATCGCTGGGTATAGTGAGACTTGACAATGTCATTGTCAATTTACGGGCAAAAGTTTCATGTGTCTCACAGCCACGGTTTCCTCAGTTTCTGACGGCATGTCAAATAATGAGGCTGTTATAGAATCTACCGACTGTAGTCAGATTCCCATACAATCAACAAATAAATTCACGTCTGGATTCTTCACAAAATCAGCAAAGAGAAAGTTTGAATTAACTTCCAAAAATAACTCCCTCGTGGAGGGCAAGGTCGGATTTGCAGTGTCTACTGTATTTATCTATGCGCAAAATTTGTTCCAGGTAAAAATAAAAACAATTTCAAATCTAACTTTCAGCTCAGAGATCTATTGATAAACTTAAATCACCCTATAGACATAGCATACGCAATTGTATTGATACTGAATTGTGGAATAAAATTGAAGTTTTTGTTAAAATTTCAAAGTACTACTTTGTTTACCAATCAGCTGGCGACAACACGCTGTTCCAACTATTGAACAAATTTGTATGGACTGTTGATAAGTCGGGAATTTTAAATTTAAAATATAAATTGTAAGTTAAAAAAGAAAATTAGAGGCAGAGAAAACGTAAATATAAGTATTGAACTGTTTTTGTATGGTATTTATAATCTATTTGAATGACACAAGCGCGCATTATGTTGTTTGCTTGCAAAGCTGTGTCATTCAAATAGATCATAAATACCATTCAAAAACAGTTCAATGCTTAAACATTACTTCATTTGTTTTATTTATTGTTTTTTCCGATTCAGTAGTGCAAAGTAAATTGTTGATGATTGATGTATTATGTTATAAAAACACAAACTCGTGCCAATGACGGAGTTGTTGTCCTTAGCATGGAATTATTGGTATCTCTTGAACAATGTTATAATAGATTTAGCCTCTGACATACTGATCAATTCCACTGGGGTTTGTTATAAATGTGTTTTGCTGTATATATGTGTGAATTTCCAGTACAAGATTATCAGCTTATGAGATTTTGTCACCGATGAAAGCATTTTAAGGTATAGTTTGTGTTGTCATGCAAATTTTTGTTGAAATCTGATCAAATTTCTAATTGTCTTAGATTGAGATTTTTATTGCATAATTAAAACCTTTGTGTGCAGTAGTTAAAATTATATTAGATTGCTAGGTTAGGTATATGTAAGATATTCAAAGATTAGTTATATTAAGCAAAATGTAATGCAATTATTACACTGGTTTTGAATGATCTTTAACACATCCTTTATCAGTTGTTTTGATCAATCAATGTATTATTATGACTTCAGATTTAAAAATTATTTAATGCACTCATTACCAAATTACAAGAATTTTGATATCCCTGTATTAAAAATATTTTTTGGAAATGTGTAAGTTTTCCCAGTTTCAGCATCCCTAAGCACTGATAAAAGGGTTGCAATAGATGTGTAAACGTTTAATAAAGGGTTACAATAGATGTGTAAACGTTTAATAAAGGGTTACAATAGATATGTAAACGTTTAATAAAGGGTTACAATAGATGTGTAAACGTTTAATAAAGGGTTACAATAGATGTGTAAACATTTAAAATCACCAACTTCATGCAAATTCATACAAGAGTATACCAAGGGAATAATGATTGTATTCAAATGTAGCTTTATACACATCATGTTAGCCTGCTCACTGTTTATAATTAACAGCTTAAAAAATATTGAATTTTGTTGTAAATTCATAGATCGTGACATGATAACAGACAGTTATCAATGGTTTTAAATATTGTGTCAATATACATTGTTCCTATAAACAGGTGTCCTTTTTATACAGAGTTAAATCTGTTGTTAGGTGCTGTAATGTGTATACATTGTAGTTCTTATGAATATATTCTTTATAGACAAGATAGGGTTTAAGTTTTCTAACTTGACACAAAGGATTATAATTCATAGAATTCTTCTGTAACAATGTGATGTTGATATTTGCACAGTTACAATTTTTGTCCCTATTTGTGTAGAACAAACACACATCATCTGAACACAACAATATCACTTAATCATATCAATCATGCAGTGGTCTGCTGTTTGAAAACTTTGAGATATATCAACTGTGGTTCTTTTTCCAGATTAGAAAATGTTAATTATCATAACTAGCTGTACCTTTAATTACCCTTTTTATGTATACTTTATGTAATATGAGGGATTTGTTGAACACATTATATGTTCTGCTAGCCAAACATTTAAATATTATATATGACAAGTTTTTGTATCATGCTTGGGAGACCCCCTGCTGTGTAACTTTTAATGTTCATGAAATAGCATGGCAAATCTTTTATAAGATGACACAATTTCAGAATCAATAACTACCCGAAAATTTGGACTTTCTGGCAAAAATCTTGTTCACAATTATTCCTGAAGAAGCCCAATGTTAGAGGTAGACAATCTTCGACGAAATTGACGCACTTGTAAAATACAGAACCTCACCCTACGATTGTTGTGATTGGGCTATTTGTTTTTTTTATCTTTTTCTTCAATTGCCCTGCACAATTTTTTAAATCCATGCCTGGGGACACTGGAAACCATCAGACCAGTCTACAACAAACTAAATCACAATCTCTTTATTTATTTGTGTTCGTACACGTTAAATAGTGCTTTGTCTTTACCTTTGTGAGCTTTTCACAAAAGTCAAGTCTGTTTCCCAAATTCAATGTGTGTTAGCATACACAGTAATGTAGGCTAATGATTTAGAAAACGTTTAAATCGGAAAGTCATATTTTAACACCTAAGTACTGTTATCATCAGTGTATGTCTAACATAATATAATAATAGCGTTTATCATTAATCATGGGTGTAAATAGGAATATATGACAGTTCTGTTAGAGAGTGAGTATATGGGTACAAGTGTGTTGTGTTTATGGACTAAGGTTGCGGTCTGTTTATCAGTTAGACAACTTACATTATGATCATATAAACCACCAGTTATATTGTAAATCTGTTATATTTCACTAAGTATACCATAAATCAGGTTATTTACGTGTGAGGCCAGTTTTGAAAGGAAAAATTAAATTTGTAATAAAATAATGTTTAAATATTTAGATAGTTACCGGTATCTCTATGCTAATGTTATCAAGAAAATGTGGTACCTCGAAAATTCAATGACGTGCAGTAGGGACCCTAATTCTGCTTTTGTACAGGAATACAGTTTGACGATTTTTTTTCTGCTAAATTGTTCCTATGTGATCCGTGTTTACTATACAAGGTTGTGAGATTTTCTGTTGCGATATGGATAAAAAGTATTTACATGTATGTATTTATAACAGGCATACAATTTTCTGTTTCATTTATGGTATAAACAGACACGCAATCTAGTCACGTATGACTGACTTCAGGGTGCTGTATACTAGTCACGTATGACTGACTTCAGGGTGCTGTGTACTAGTCACGTATGACTGACTTCAGGGTGCTGTGTACTAGTCATGTATGACTGACTTCAGGGTGCTGTGTAAATGTCCATACAAGGGAAGAATGTTTGAATGTATCATGACAGATTTTTTTTGTATTTATTTGTGAAATGTAAATACTAGTCTCTATGAATTCAATAGAGGAAATCAGTGTACATAACTTAATTCAACCAATTTTATGTATATGTATTTAATCATTGTGGTTCTTTAGATGTTCTGACAAGGTATATACTTTTGGGTATGTATGTATGATAAACAGGTTGAGTTATCATGCACTTAAATTTTGCGGAGTTGAAATGTTAGTTATATATTTGCGGCCTGAAAAAGATACGCAAAAATGTTCCCAGTAAAATTCTAAATGAGAGTTGGTTGAGACTGTTAAAAATTAGAGCACTGTTAGTCAGTGTATGACATATTATTGTGTAGGGTAGAGTTTGATTCTATTTGATAGAAAGTACATTGATTGAATGTTTATCATGTCCATCACTGATACAAGTAGACTAGCTTATCATTTGGAGAGATCTTAATTGATGGTGTGAGCTTTGTACATTATCTGTAGAAAATTACAATACATAATCAGTATTGGTTTTAAAGAATGATAAAACAAATATTGCAATTCCACTTCCTATGTCTATTTATTGTCTTTTTTCTTGCCTTTTTTTTTTTTGAATTTCTGCAGATGATGCTTTCTTTAATTCTTAGAAAAGTATTATGACTATCCTATTTCAAGTGTATAAAGCTGAGGGGAACACATTGTACAATGTAATATATCTTGTATAAATCCTTTGGTATAAACCTTTGTATTGGTGTCATTTCTTCAGCAAGTCTAACTATTTAAAGTTAAGTGTATTTATAGAGGATGACCAGTCGTTATCAACACATAGAAATATACACAATCCTAGAGGATCAAGAAAGGGATTATGCCGTTATCTTAACCAATGGAAATTTCATCAAATGACCTTGAAATTAGAACAGTACAACACACAATATTGAAATAAGATTCGTACAAGGCTCAAAAGTTAACCTTCAATATGGAACAAAGCAGAATATTAAAGTTTCATTAAACAATATAGAAACATCAAAACTTCATTTTTGCATTGTGGTCTTGATTTTGTGGGAATAATTTGAGAGTAGAACATTAAATCCCAAACTTACTAGGAAGTAAGAACTACCAGGGTTCACCAACATATCTACTCCTGACAGAGGTGGACTGATTCCAAAACTTACTAGGAAGTAAGATCTACCAGGGTTCACCAACATATCTACTCCTGACAGAGGTGGACTGATTCCAAAACTTACTAGGAAGTAAGATCTACCAGGGTTCACCAACATATCTACTCCTGACAGAGGTGGACTGATTCCAAAACTTACTAGGAAGTAAGATCTACCAGGGTTCACCAACATATCTACTCCTGACAGAGGTGGACTGATTCCAAAACTTACTAGGAAGTAAGATCTACCAGGGTTCACCAACATATCTACTCCTGACAGAGGTGGACTGATTCCAAAACTTACTAGGAAGTAAGATCTACCAGGGTTCACCAACATATCTACTCCTGACAGAGGTGGACTGATTCCAAAACTTACTAGGAAGTAAGATCTACCAGGGTTCACCAACATATCTACTCCTGACAGAGGTGGACTGATTCCAAAACTTACTAGGAAGTAAGATCTACCAGGGTTCACCAACATATCTACTCCTGACAGAGGTGGACTGATTCCAAAACTTACTAGGAAGTAAGATCTACCAGGGTTCACCAACATATCTACTCCTGACAGAGGTGGACTGATTCCAAAACTTACTAGGAAGTAAGATCTACCAGGGTTCACCAACATATCTACTCCTGACAGAGGTGGACTGATTCCAAAACTTACTAGGAAGTAAGATCTACCAGGGTTCACCAACATATCTACTCCTGACAGAGGTGGACTGATTCCAAAACTTACTAGGAAGTAAGATCTACCAGGGTTCACCAACATATCTACTCCTGACAGAGGTGGACTGATTCCAAAACTTACTAGGAAGTAAGATCTACCAGGGTTCACCAACATATCTACTCCTGACAGAGGTGGACTGATTCCAAAACTTACTAGGAAGTAAGATCTACCAGGGTTCACCAACATATCTACTCCTGACAGAGGTGGACTGATTCCAAAACTTACTAGGAAGTAAGATCTACCAGGGTTCACCAACATATCTACTCCTGACAGAGGTGGACTGATTCCAAAACTTACTAGGAAGTAAGATCTACCAGGGTTCACCAACATATCTACTCCTGACAGAGGTGGACTGATTCCAAAACTTACTAGGAAGTAAGATCTACCAGGGTTCACCAACATATCTACTCCTGACAGAGGTGGACTGATTCCAAAACTTACTAGGAAGTAAGATCTACCAGGGTTCACCAACATATCTACTCCTGACAGAGGTGGACTGATTCCAAAACTTACTAGGAAGTAAGATCTACCAGGGTTCACCAACATATCTACTCCTGACAGAGGTGGACTGATTCCAAAACTTACTAGGAAGTAAGATCTACCAGGGTTCACCAACATATCTACTCCTGACAGAGGTGGACTGATTCCAAAACTTACTAGGAAGTAAGATCTACCAGGGTTCACCAACATATCTACTCCTGACAGAGGTGGACTGATTCCAAAACTTACTAGGAAGTAAGATCTACCAGGGTTCACCAACATATCTACTCCTGACAGAGGTGGACTGATTCCAAAACTTACTAGGAAGTAAGATCTACCAGGGTTCACCAACATATCTACTCCTGACAGAGGTGGACTGATTCCAAAACTTACTAGGAAGTAAGATCTACCAGGGTTCACCAACAAATATACTCCTGACAGAAGTGGACTGATTCCAAAACTTACTAGGAAGTAAGATCTACCAGGGTTCACCAGCATATCTACTCCTGACAGAAGTGGACTGATTCCAAAACTTACTAGGAAGTAAGATCTACCAGGGTTCACCAACATATCTACTCCTGACAGAGGTGGACTGATTCCATGCTTAAAAAAAATTGTGAACTGAAATAATTTGACAGGGAATTAACAGAATCCCAGCCGACCTAAATATAACAACACTTGTTCAGAACAATAAGTTTATATCCATCCTAAGTTTGGGTTAACATTTCCGTTTGAGTCAAAGACGATAAGAAATACAGGTATTGTTTTATGATTATTGACAGGTGGTCTAGTTTAAGACTGGACTACAGCACTTGAAATATTACTATATAGCTAGTTAAAAATAAGGTCATGATGACGACTGTAACATTTCTGTAGGGTAAACTGAAGTATCTCTTGTTGAAAACCCTGACTACCATCGATTGATCAAAAGGACGCATCTCAACCAGACAATTCCGAAATTGAAACTGAGATATAATGTTAGTGCAGGCAAATTCGTTACATTAGCAAGGTTTCAGTTAATAATTCGTCACATTAGTAAGGGTTTCAGTAGATAATTCATCACATTAGTAAGGGTTTCAGTTAATAATTCGTCACATTAGTAAGGGTTTTAGTTAATAATTTGTAATTCGTCACATAAGCAAGGGTTTCAGTTAATAATTCGTCACATTAGCAAGGGTTTCATTTAATTATTCGTCACATTAGCAAGGGTTCAGTTAATAATTCGTCACATTAGTAAGGGTTTCAGTAAATAATTCGTCACATCAGCAAGGGTTTCAGTTAATAATTCGTCACATTAGCAAGGGTTTCAGTTAATAATTTGTCACATTAGCAAGGGTTTCAGTTTAAAATTCGTCACATTAGCAAGGGTTCAGTTAATAATTCGTCACATAAGGGTTTCAGTTAATAATTCGTCACATTAGCAAGGGTTCAGTTAATAATTCGTCACATTAGCAAGGGTTTTAGTTAATAATTCGTCACATTAGTGAGGGTTTCAGTTAATAATTCGTCACATTAGCAAGGGTTCAGTTAATAATTCGTCACATTAGCAAGGGTCTCAGTTAATAATTCGTCACATTAGCAAGGGTTTTAGTTAATAATTCGTCACATTAGTGAGGGTTTCAGTTAATAATTCGTCCCATTAGCAAGGGTTCAGTTAATAATTCGTCACATAAGGGTTTCAGTTAATAATTCGTCACATAAGTAAGGGTTTCAATTAATAATTTCTCACATTAGCAAGGGTTTCAGTTTAAAATTCGTCACATTAGCAAGGGTTTCAGTAAATAATTCGTCACATTAGCAAGGGTTTCAGTTAATTTGTCACATTAGCAAGGGTTTCAGTTTAAAATTCGTCACATTAGCAAGGGTTTCAGTAAATAATTCGTCACATTAGCAAGGGTTTCAATTAATAATTTGTCACATGAGCAAGGGTTTCAGTTAATAGTTCGTCACATTAGCAAGGGTTTCAGTTAATAATTTGTCACACTAGCAAGGGTTTCAGTTAATAATTCGTCACATAAGTAAGGGTTTCAGTTAATAATTCGTCACATAAGTAAGGGTTTCCGTTAATAATTTGTCACATTAGCAAGGGTTCAGTTAATAATTCTTCACATTAGCAAGGGTTTCAGTTAATAATTCGTCACATAAGTAAGGGTTTCAATTAATAATTTGTCACATTAGCAAGGGTTTCAGTTTAAAATTCGTCGCATTAGCAAGGGTTCAGTTAATAATTCGTCAAATAAGGGTTTCAGTTAATAATTCGTCACATAAGTAAGGGTTTCAGTTAATAATTCGTCACATAAGTAAGGGTTTCCGTTAATAATTTGTCACATTAGCAAGGGTTCAGTTAATAATTCTTCACATTAGCAAGGGTTTCAGTTAATAATTTGTCACATGAGCAAGGGTTTCAGTTAATAGTTCGTCACATTAGCAAGGGTTTCAGTTAATAGTTCGTCACATTAGCAAGGGTTTCAGTTAATAATTTGTCACACTAGCAAGGGTTTCAGTTAATAATTCGTCACATAAGTAAGGGTTTCCGTTAATAATTTGTCACATTAGCAAGGGCTTCAGTTAATAATTTGTCACATTAGCAAGGGTTTCAGTTAATAATTTGTTCAAAAGCGCATTTATCAAAATTCTGACGAGCACCAGTACAGAAGAAGATTTGACTGAAATGCGTATAAATAAACATTGTTGTAAACACGCCTGAATGATGTCACACAGCAACATTTGTGACGTCATCAGGCCTGCCGTGGTTTTGCTGAAAGGTGCAGGCAGTTTCGCAAACATTTCACTTATTTGCAAGTAATGTAAGTGTTTAAATGTAACACTTTGTATGTTTATGTTTATTACAAGTCGTAATGATACGAACAGCTCCAAATGTGTGTCTGTAACTGATTAACATTGAAATAAATGGCTTTTCTTAGCTGTGATAGTTTATTTTCGGTAACTTGAAGAATGTTATTATTGGTGTTTGAGTAAGATGGCTGGGACCGGCTGAGATGAGGTCAATTTACATGCATCACAAAAAAGACTCGGTCTTGAACAACTATAAACTTCCAAATCGGTGTCTAAAATTATATTTTTTATCGGGTCCGGATGAGAGCTGGTCCCCCACCATTTACGTCCCTGTTTACATTTATATATTGCGTGGTCAGAGCTATGAAGCAGTCCTGTTCCAACTAACTGAGGAAAATCAAAAGTGTTAATCAGTAATAATATATATGATTCACGCTTAATATGATTATAATGTTATCGAAATATTGCATATTCGTTCATCGTTGAAATAACAAATNAAAGGGGTAAATGCCAGTTTCAGTTTTTAATGTTCTATGAAATACATTGTATGGACAAAGGGAAGCAATTCCTAATTCCTATGCAAATTAATTATCCAAAGGTCTAAAATGATATATTCTAGAGGAAACTTGGTACCCTTCTTCTGACAAACCTATAAAGATATACTGTACACACAAGAAGAATAACTTCACAGTGGTACACTTTTACATAAAACTTTGATTCATAACAAATTAACAGTAAATCCTCCTGTACAATATGATGGGAACTTCGTCTTTATTTTGTTCTCCATTCCAAAAATAATATATATATATCTTTTGCCTTAGCTTTCAGTACTTTCAGTACTTTGATTATACCTCTTGTCAAAATGTTAAGGGGCTTTAACTGTGTTGAAGACTATGGTGACGTTGTTTACGTCACATCTTATGTATTATAACGTCATATGGCAATTTCGTCACAGGGTGACGAATCAGAGTGCATGGCGAATTTGGGTGCACTAACGTTAACTATTAGTAGGATATGGTATTAAAAGATCAGCTAATTTTTATCTGCATATATAGTGTTTGTTCTTTCCCGTTGCTGAAAAAGTGTTTTTCCCAATCCTTGATCTTAACGTCGCTCGAATCTCTCGGCGTCATCACCCACTATTTCATGGGGATTTTAAAATCCGCTGACAGTGAGAATTTCATTGCTTATATTTGGATGTTGGGGAAAGCAGATGGCTTGCAAACCATTTCCTCCCAGTTCAAATCTGGATGCCTGCGTTCCTGATCTTACCACTGATTTGGCCTCGGTTGCTTTGAACCTCTCCAATACTGATGACAGAGGAAGTTGCAGTGGTAAAGTACGGGTGTTGATATTGGAGAAACAAGGCGGAACTCCAAGCCATAGGAATAGGTAGCTGCTGTTGGATCTCTCCAGTCCCTTTACTCGGAGTAACCACATGCAGCATCAACAGCCACATGAATCTCAGTTGTTGGACTATCCATCTTCCTTATCTATTCATCTTCTGTATACTTTTATGTTCCTGGTACCTTTAAGTGATCCATCAAACTTTTCCTTATGTAATTGCTTATCAATGTGATTTAGCTGGAGCTGCTGGGATATTGGTTCCTCTATCTGCAATTGCTAAGAGATGTATTCTCAGTCCACAGTAGCTTAAACTGGTTGATCACGTTATACATACTGATATCGTAGTCATAGATTCGCCAGTCCAAATAAAGAAATTGAAAGAAAAACAATTTCCAAAATAGCCTAGAGAATTTAATTAACACAAAAAGAACGAAAGCATCAATCTCAGAATTATTGGCAATCGACAACTCTAGTAGTATCACGGTTACCCCTTTTACTCGACATTCAATATTGACACGAGGCATAATAACTGTTTAACTACAAATACTCTTCAAAATAACACGACTGTGTTCTTGCTTTTATCGGTAACTAAGATCCAAACTGCAGTATGTTGGTCATAACCGCGTCAATGAAATAGGTTAGCCGGTTCCGAACTGTAATCGGTTGGACAGAACTGCACTGTAATGGTTTTTCAAAATTAAACTAGTCTACATCATTGTAATAAGTTAGCAAAATCTGCACTATAATCGGTTTGTCAGATCCGTACTGAAATTGGGAGGCCATAACCACGTCAATGTAAAACGTTAGCTGGATCCAAAAAGTAATCTGATAACCAGACACGCAACATGTAAAAGGTTAGTCATATTTGCACTGTAATAGGTTAGTCAGATCAACACTGTAAAAGGTTAGTCATATTTGCACTGTAATAGGTAAGTCGGATCAACACTGTATCCACCTGAAATTTAGGAAACACAGTTTTAGTTTCGGCAGAACTAAAATCAGTTCGATATTCGCGATTGCGCTTATTCGACCTTTTTACAAGCATCACAACTTATGAAACAAACTATAGTAAATATATATTAACGCTTTGATTCGATATGTCAAAAAAGGACATCGATAATTATCAAAAGTTGTAATGATATATACTTTTTCTATACTCCCATTCTAAATATGATTTGTTTTTCCTCTCAACATCTTTCATTATCACTTTATCTATATCAACTCTCACACAAACAAATTAATCTCTGTATTAAATCAGTTTTTCCTGTGTTTGATTGACATTGAAACGTTTATTTAACTGACAACATTCTTCTATAAGTTTACTTCTCATTACAACACCACCTTACCTTTTGAAGTACAAAAACCGCATGTTTTAGAACAGTAAGTTTTGGCCCAGGTAGTAAAATTTGTACAAGCATCGGCTGTTCTTCCTTCACATTCTGGCTTGTCGACACACCCACCTAGACACAGAATAAAAATATAAGAATATCATCAACAAAATCTTGTTTAAAAAGTTATTTACGCGTCGACCTGAACACAATACATATGTAAAGGACGTTCGGCTTTGAATGTGTATCGGTGAATTATTATTTATGTAATAATAATCTTGCTGTTTATATTTATATCAATAATTTTGAAATGTAATGCTTATTTCTTAATGATATCACCTATCACAAAGAAAACATCAACTCGCTCATATTATGACCGCTGTTTTCGAAATGAGTTATAGTTGGAAAACTCTTCTGACTTAAAATTGTGTCAATACGCTGATGGGGTCTGGTAACCTACATTGAATATTGACACTAGTTACTGTATGTGGATAAGTACTAACACACTGGCGACCTAGATTAAAGATTTACACTAGTTATTGTATGTGGATCAGTACTTACACACTGGTGACCTAGATTGAGGATTTACACTAGCTAGTGTATGAGGATCAGTACTCACACACTGGTGACCTAGATTGAAGATTTACAATAGTTAAAGAATGTGGATAAGTACTAACAGACTGGTGACCTAGATTGAAGATTTACACTAGTTATTGTATGTGGATCAGTACTTACACACTGGCGACCTAGATTGAAGATTTACAATAGTTAAAGAATGTGAATAAGTACTAACAGAGTGGTGACCTAGATTGAAAATTTACTCTAGCTAGTTATTGTTTGTGAATCGTTACTAACACACTGGCGACCTAGACTGAGGATTTACACTAGCTAGTGTATGCGGATCAGTACTCACACACTGGTGACCTATATTGAAGATTTACACTAGTTATTGTTTGTGGATCAGCACTTACACACTGGTGACCTAGATTGAGGATTGACACTAGTTACTGTATGTGGATCAGTACTTACACACTGGTGACCTAGATTGAATACATACACTAGCTATTGTATGTGGATCAGTACTTACACACTGGTGACCTAGCTTGTATATTTACACTAGTTATTGTATGTGGATCAGTACTTACACACTGGCGACCTAAATTGAAGATTTACACTAGCTATTGTATGTGGATCAGTACTTACACACTGGTGACCTAGCTTATATATTGACACTAGTTATTGTATGTGGATCAGTACTTACACACTGGTGACCTAGATTGAATATATACACTAGTTATTGTATGTGGATAAGTACATACACACTGGTGACCTCGGTTGAAGATTTACACTAGCTAGTTGTATGTGGATCATTACTTACACACTGGTGACCTAGGTTGAAGATTTACACTAGTTATTGTATGTGGATCAATACTTTAACACTGGTAACCTAGATCGAAAATTTACACTTCCTATTATATATGGATCAATATATACACACTGGTGACCTAGATTGAAGATTTACACTAGTCTAGTTATTGTATGTGGGTCAATATTTACACACTGTTGACCTAGAACTAAGATTTACACTACCTAGTTATTGTTTGTGAATCAGTACTTACACACTGATGACCTAGATTGAAGATTTACACTAGCTAGTTATTGTATGTGGATCAGTACTTACACACTGGTGACCTAGATTGAAGATTTACAGTAGCTTGTTGTTGTATGTGGATCAGTACTTACACACTGGTGACCTAGATTGAAGATTTACACTAGCTAGTTATTGTTTGTGAATCGGTACTTACACACTGGTGACCTAGATTGAGGATTTACATTAGCTAGTTATTGTATGTGGATCAGAACTTACACACTGGTGACCTAGATTGAAGATTTACAGTAGCTTGTTGTTGTATGTGGATCAGTACATACACACTGGTGACCTAGATTGAAGATTTACACTAGCTAGTTATTGTTTGTGAATCGGTACTTACACACTGGTGACCTCGATTGAATATTTACACTAGTTATTGTATGTGGATCAGTACTTACACACTGGTGACCTAGATTGAAGATTTACCCTAGTTATTGTATGTGGATCAGTACTTGCACACTGGCGACCTAGATTGAATATATACACTAGTTATTGTATGTGGATCAGTACTTACACACTGGTGACCTAGATTGAAGATTTACACTAGCTAGATATTGTTTGTGAATCAGTACTTACACACTGGGGACCTAGATTGAAGATTTACACTAGTTAAAAGATGGAGAAGTACATACACACTGATGACCTAGAACGAAGATTTACACTAGCTAGATATTGTTTGTGAATCAGTACTTACACACTGATGACCTAGAACGAAGATTTACACTAGCTAGATATTGTTTGTGAATCAGTACTTACACACTGGGGACCTAGATTGAAGATTTACACGAGTTATTGTATTTGGATCAGTACTTACACACTGACAACCAAGATTGAAGATTTACACTAGTTAAAAGATGGATAAGTACATACACACTGATGACCTAGAACGAAGATTTACACTAGCTAGATATTGTTTGTGAATCAGTACTTACACACTGGTGACCTAGATTGAAGATTTACACTAGTTATTGTATGTTGATCAGTACTCCCACACTGGTGACCTAGATTGAAGATTTACACTAGTTATTGTATGTGGATCAGTTCTTACACACTGGTTACCTAGGTTGAAAATTTACATTAGTTATTGTATGTGGATCAGTACTTACACACTGACAACCAAGATTGAAGATTTAAACTAGTTAAAGAATGTGGATAAGTACATACACACTGATGACCTAGATTGAATATTTACACTAGTTATTGTATGTTGATCAGTACTTACACACTGGTGACCTAGATTGAAGATTTACACGAGCTATTGTTTCTGAATCAGTACTTACATACTAGTGACCTAGGTTGAAGATTTACACTAGTTATTGTTTGTGAATCAGTACTTACACACTGGTGACCTAGGTTTAAGATTTACACTAGCTAGTTATTGCTTGTGAATCAGTACGTACAAACTGGTGACCTAGTTTGAAGATTTACACTAGCTTTTGTTTGTGAATCAGTACGTCCACACTGGTGACCTAGATTGAAGATTTACACTAATTGTTGTTTGTGAATCAGTACTTACACACTGGTGACCTAGATTGAAGATTTACACTAGCTTGTTATTGTTTGTGAATCCGTACTTACACACTAGCTAGTTATTGTTTGTGAATCCGTACTTACACACTCTACACATATGTGGGCACACCTTCCGTATATTACCAGATATACAGTGACTGACGTCGTAGAAACCGCAATAGGTATTATCAGTACACTCCTTTTTGTTGTCGTCTGTTGAAGAAGCAAACCACTTTTTATTTCGTTTGTGTTGAATGGACATCAATGATTTGTTTTTATTTTACATAGTGTCGTGAATTCGGTGTGTGTTTATTACACACCGTCACAACAAGTAGTTGTAACTGCTCTTAGCTCCTGAAATCAAATACAAGGTTGAGGAAAATCATGAGACCGCGCCGAGATGTCACATACAGGTTGTCGGCGCGGTTATCGGTCCAAAATTGTCACCACTGCCATTGCTGATGCTTTTTTTCTTTTAAATAAATTCTCAACATTTCAAAGTGTGTTTTTGACCGTTTTGTGATAAGAAATGAATATTATTTCTACCGATATGTAAATATTAAATTCCCATTACAAAGTAGTGACATTACACATTAGTTGGAATGACAGAAAAATCTGTTCACTTTTTCAAATGATATTGTAATTTTAATTAGAAAATAACATACCACAGCGTCAACACACATTGCCAAGTCAGGCCTCACAGTCCATACCAAAAGATACATTGAGAACAGAAGATATAATAAACAGAACGATATCGTGAATGCCCTGCCCCTGCCACTCCCCGAACAAAAGACGAAACTGTTCAGAAAGGGTAAGTTACCCCTGCAACAGATGTAGCGACCATCGTTATTTCAAATCCTAAAAAACTTGTCGCAGAAAATCGACGAAAGACAGTATCAACATTTCTTTATTCATGAAAGACAATGGAATATCATAGACATAACCTTTTACTAAATTATGGGATGTCATTACGTACCGTTCATGTGAAGACAGTGTTTATAACAGCACATGCTGAACTCGGCAGGCTTGTCCTCTGGTTTACACAGCGAGTCATCAACCTCTAAAGACGCGTTTGTCACACTCATGCACTTTATAATTTGTCTCTGCTCTCCGATACCGCATACTTGTGAACACTTGGAAAATAATTAAATACATTTTTATTTCTAATTTAGTAAATATAATGTATTTCAAATATTCATTTTGTTCCATTAAGATATCATTTTTTATATATACAACGAATCAGGCAATAGCACATAATTGATAACGCATGCGTGTAGGAATGAACACTATTTCACTGTTACTGTTATTTATCTAAGTCATTATAAAATGTCTTATTTTGCATCTTTCGTTGTAAATAACAATATAAAGATATACCAAGTCAATCAATATACTACAGGAATTTTCTTTATAATTCTATCTCGTTGAACCCAATCTATACAATGTTCCTCTTCCTCAAAACCACATCAGAATGAGACAGCCCAAAATCATTCAAAACGTTTTCAACCATCTTACATCAGTCCACCATAAACAAATTTAATTTCATATATGCATATTCCCTCAATAATGATATCTTACATGCGTTGAGGAAGGTCTTTGGTGCTTCTTTTATAATTGTATATTTGTGATATTATTTGGTATTATGTTCTTTTATTTTGCATTCAATTTCGATAAAATGGCATTCGTCGTGCCATTTTCAGGCATATCGACTGTTGCGAATTACTGATGGTGAATGATACATCAAAGTAGTCTATATTTGTGAAAGGTAAAAGTCCAAATCGACGGGGTTCCGCTGTACTTGAGGTGAAATCGATACACTAGTTACGAGCTACCTACGTTTGACTTGTGTGTTATTCGCCAGACGGGTTGACAGGGTTGCTGGTGACATGTCATGGTGTTGTTGGGTTTGGTGAGGTGGTGACACTCGTGTAATGGACGTGGAGCACACCTGTTTACTTTACACTCCGTACCGTTGACGCACACCACCTGTCTTGTAGAGGTGCCGACCCCACAGGTAGTAGAACACGCGCTCCAGTCACCACTGTGCCATCTGTTACAAAAGTTTTATATAGCAACATATAAGTATGATGCTAAAACAATAGTCCCCAAATCAATGTCCTTTATTACAGGGCTGTAATGTATTGTCCTTTATTATATGGCTGTAATGTAATGTCCTATATTTTATGGCTGTAATGTATTGTCCTTTATTATATGGCTGCAATGTATTGTCCTTTATTATATGGCTGTAATGTTTTGTCCTTTATTATATGGCTGTAATGTAATGTCCTTTATTATATGGCTGTAATGTATTGTCCTTTATTATATGGCTGTAATGTATTGTCCTTTTTTATATGGCTGTAATGTAATGTCCTATATTATATGGCTGAAATGTATTGTCCTTTATTTTATGGCTGTAATGTAATGTCCTTTATTATAGGGCTGTAATGTAATGTCCTATATTATATGACTGTAATGTATTGTCCTTTATTTTATGGCTGTAATGTTATGTCCTATATTATAGGGCTGTAATGTATTTCCTTTATTATATGGCTGTATTGAATTGTCCTTTATTATATGGCTGTAATGTATTGTCCTTTATTATATGGCTGTAATGTATTGTCCTTTTTTATATGGCTGCAATGTAATGTCCTATATTATATGGCTGAAATGTATTGTCCTTTATTTTATGGCTGTAATATAATGTCCTTTATTATATGTCTGTAATGTATTGTCCTTTATTATATGACTGTAATGTATTGTCCTTTTTTATATGGCTGCAATGTAATGTCCTATATTATATGGCTGAAATGTATTGTCCTTTATTTTATGGCTGTAATATAATGTCTTTTATTATAGGGCTGTAATGTAATGTCCCTTATTATATGGCTGTAATGTATTTTCCTTTATTATATGGCTGCAATGTATTGTCCTTTATTATAAGGCTGTAATGTAATGTCCTTTATTATATGGCTGTAATGTATTGTCCTTTATTTTATGGCTGTAATGTAATGTCCTATATTATAGGGCTGTAATGTATTTCCTTTATTATATGGCTGTAATGTATTGTCCTTTATTATATGGCTGTAATATAATGTCCTTTATTATAGGGCTGTAATGTAATGTACTTTATTATATGGCTGTAATGTATTGTGTTTACGGCTAGTGTTTCTTGGCACCAATGTTTTGGAACCGTTTACGATCCAATTTAAGTTATAAATTATACTCGGAACCCACGAAAACAAAGTAACATTTTATATCAAATAGAACGTTATAACTGTGATAATTAAAACAATGCTGGATTGCACATGATGAGTAACCACTGTAAACTGCAGTATACATGTACTTGCCAAATTGTATTAGCAATTTTTTTTATTGCATAACTATACATACATCACAAAATATAACCTGTGTAACTATATATAACAGAATGTATTACGCTTAACTATACATCATATACACACACCATGACTTTGCATAAAAAAATATTTCTTTCTGTATCAGATTCACCTTCGTGTTCCATAACAAAGTTACATGGATATGAAACTTTAACAATATCACCATATAATATATTTTTGGTTTAATTCCGTCAATAATCGTGACAAGCTTTTTTCTCTCTCAAACGGATGGATACCACTAGCGAGTGTGGGTGTCGGAGGAAAGACCTTCATGCGTCTTTTCTGATCCAACTTTAAAAGAGCAGCAGCAAATGACACCTCATTTTAAAATACGATAAATTAATCGAAAGGCAAAGGAGTAGAGATGTAAACCTACCTTGCAGTACAAGTTCTTTGAATACATGTTGTTCTATTCTCAGCAGGGTATTCCTTGATCTTACATCTTTTATCCTCCACCATTGTCTGTAACGGAATGTCCGTACACGTGTGTATGAGAGACTTGAAACCTGTTTAAAGAACAATGTATGTATCCTGTACGTAATGACAGAAACCTGTTTAAAGAAAGAACAATATATATATCCTGCACGTAGTGCCATTAAGTTATATTATTTAGTTCAACACAACAAGGTCTGTACACTGAGTTAAACGAATCTACAAACTCTCCATTTAGGAAGCCTTTTTTGCCTGACTTACCTGTTCCGCAGGTAACATAAGACAATGACCATTTGGAATCGTGTTTAGGATTTATTGCTGCATTTTTTAGCCCGACTTACCTGTTCCACAGGTAACTGAGCACGAGGACCACTGGGACGTCCACTGGTACCGTTGTTGATGAGAGGAAACAAGAGGTGTGTGATACTCATAGTATATCCTGAGGTCGTACCGTTGATCGACATACTGGACGACTATTTCTACCTACAAATCACGAGAAAGTCGTATAAATGTTGTAACCAAGGCTAACATTTTTAATGTTATGCACCAGAGACGCAGAATCATTATACATATTTAATTGTACCAGTAACATTTAGATTTAGAAGAAATTTTGTTATTCCTGTCATCTATCGGATGGGTAAATGATAAATTATGATGTATGAATTATTGAGTCGACAAAAATTGCAAGCAATGTAAGAAAGTCTCATATTTCATTTTATTTGTTTCAAATATAAAAAAGGAAGATTCTTTAATTTTTAATTCACTCAAATTTCTTATCAATATATTGTTTGTTAACGGTTATTACCTGGAATTCGATATCTTGCTCCACTGGTCCTACGATATGAATTTCCTCAAAGTCTTTACAGCGTGTGAGGACAATGTCATACCGATCGTAGTAATAGTCGCCGACAGGTAACTGGTCGGATTCTACAACAATGGTCAGCGTCAGTGTATATTACAGGTAACACTGTCTCTTTTATCAATCGTGCATGCCGATCGAATTGATTTCCTCCGATTTGTTAAGTCCGGTTTGAATACACTTTTTTTATAATTTGATATTCTGTCACTTTGAATTTGTATTTAATATGCATTTGTTATATGTGTTTACGTCTTCACGAATTCATTGACCCTAAAGTCACATTTAGACTCTTCCAATAATTGGACAGTATATTGTTAAAATCCAGGGATGATCGAGTGGATAAAAATATATTATTTCGATTAAATTGACTTCAAAAGATTGATCCAAAAAGTTGTTTTTATAATATCTATATAGCAATACTCACTCAATTTGACAATAAGTGGGTAGTTATTTCGTATACAAATTCCTGTTGAACGTGCTGGAATCTTAAATGACATAGTCTTGCCTTTAAAAAAACATAATTAAAATAAATCATATACATTTATACCGATAATACCATTCTAGTTCAAAACAAACATTCAACGAAGTTACATAAAACAGGAAGAAATAGTAGTAAGGTTTTGTCTTGTTTGATATTAGTCCTGCAATTACCTTTGTTGTCGTAGAGTGCCCGAATATCAAACATCCCGGGCACACCAAGGCACTGTGTTCCATTTCCGTTACACACGCCGCAGGCATCAAATGCAGAGGAAGAGTCAAGGAAGCCATCACATCCGAAAATCTGCCAGGAAACATCGTACCGATTGCAATAATGAAATCAACTTACCCTCTATTATTTCTAATAAACGTATAACTAAGTCAAATAATATTATATATCTATTCGTACATCAGTCAATGTACCATACGCCATTGCCCTTCTCAAACATGATGATTTTTTTCCAATGACGTTTATTTTCCTTTCCTCAGTACTAACATGTCTGCGTCTCTGTGTATGGGTTTCACATACAACAGTAGATAATTAACTACAGAGACGGTTGTACTGAAAATAATACGAATGTCATCAAACCTGACCTGGTCTACAGTATTACCTGTTTACACATCAAACCTGACCTAGTCTTCAGTATTTCCTGGTTACACAGCAAACCTGACCTGGTCTACAGTAATCCCTGAT